GGCTTGGCTTAAAGCGATGATAGCGTTGTCTGCAATTTAAACACTGCTACGGCATTAAGAAAAGTTAGGCCTTGAGAAATCGTTTTTGAAGGTTATATAGAAAATATTCCTGTTTTTTCAAAGGAGCCCTGGGCTCGGCTGCTAACCTCAAGGTTGGTGGTTTGAATCCACCCAGCAGCTTCACGGGAGAAAAACCCAGCGATCTGCTCCTATAAAGATCACAGCCAAGAAAACTCTACAGGGCAGTTCTACTCCGTCACATGGGGTGGCTATGAGTTGAAATCGACTTGGATGGCACCTAACAACAACATTCCTATTTTTAAGTATTTATATTTTTTATCTAGTCCATTCTGACTTCAGTTTCTCCAGAAGATATTTCTCCTTAATTATTTCCACTTTGTTACCTAATACTTAGCTCATTTTTGTATAGCTGGGATTATCTGTATTTATCGGTTATGTTTACGTATCATTTTATATGAGATTTAGTAATATTTTAGTCACATATTTGTAACTGTTTACATTTGTTCTGTCAGTCCTGATCTACTCGAAGCTCCATGAGGCCGAGGATTTATTTCCTCTTTGCTTTGTGACTTTCAAAACCTTGGACAGAGGGGCAATATTTGTAGGCTCCTGACCACTCCCTGACTGAACTATTGAAGCTTCTCTGTTGGAGAAGAAATTTGGAAGCAAACTTCCCTTCACATCAGTGTCTAAAAATTGGATCCCACATGATGAAAACCTTCCATTATGCCCTGTTTGCTCTTCTTAACAGAGTCTCTGGTTAAGTGCTGGGCTACTGACAGAAAGTTTGGAGGTTCGGGCCCACCCAGAGACACCCTGGAAGAAAGACCTGACGATCTGCTTCCAGAAAATCAGCCGTTGAAAACCCTTTGGAGCAGTGCTATTCTGTAACACATGGGGTCGCTGTGAGTCGGAATTGACTCACTGGCAGCTGGTGTGGTTTTTGGTTTGGCACTTGATAACAATTGTCCTCTTCTTTGTTCTACTCCAAGATAAAGCCACCAATCCTTCCAACCGGCAGGAGGACTGGGAATACATCATTGGCTTCTGTGATCAGATCAACAAGGAGCTCGAAGGGTGAGTCTCAGAGCAGTTAGGGGCCAGGTGAGAGACAGCTGACTGGAAGAACAAAAACCGTGGTCACGGAGGGCTGGCCGGCTGGCTCCAGGGCCAGTGTAATGAAAGCGGTCTGCTTGTCTCCAGGCCACAGATCGCGGTCCGGCTGCTCGCCCACAAGATCCAGTCCCCACAGGAATGGGAGGCGGTGCAGGCCCTGACGGTAGGTTCTTCAGTCTCAGAGGTGGATGAATGTGATGGGTCTCCATGAGCCCAGGCCTTGCTCACACACCCGCTGGGTTCTCAGTGGTTCTCAGGCCTCACGCTCAAAGCCGGCAGGAAATCGTCAATACAAACTAGATTTATCTGAAACACGTTCAGTCGGCACTTTTACAAGCGTGTGTGCCCTTGCCAGGCACTGTGCCAGGTGTTAAGGCCTCAGAGATGATTGTGGTCCAGCCAGTGTGGCACCCACTGGCTAGTGCGAGAGGCTGAGGTGCTGAGGGAGGGCACCCGAGGCAGGGCCCGAGCCCCACACGGGGTGAGAGGCCACTTCTGGAAGAGACACTGACGGAATTGTCTTGCCAGATAAGAGTTGGCCAGCAGAAGAAAGGTGAGGTGAGTATAATCATGCTGTAGCTAAAGAATGCCAGTTCCTAGCGAGGCTGTCATGCTTATAAGCCCCAGCATAGGGCTGGATCCCACCAAGGGAATTCCAGACGCAGAGCAGTGTGCAGCGCTCGGGTGC